TATATATATATATAATGTTTTTTTCTAAATCGTGAAAACTATATTAACAAAATTTTGTTTATGCAAAAACAAAATACATAACAATAATTAGTGAAATGGATCGGACTCAACTCACTAAATAGCTCTCGAGCTACACTTAGCGAGCTAATGGGTCAGATTTAAACTCATCTCAACTCAACTTGTTATGCAGTGAGCCAGTTTGCTTAATAAAATTTTAATGAAAGCCAAGATTAAGTATATTTTAATTAAAATTAAATTAGTCACATTCAAACTTAAATTTAATCAATAAAATATATGTTTATGAAAAATAATTCATATTTTCAATATTAAGTATTCTTTAAAATTAATTTATGAAAAATAAATTTAATAATTTTGTTAAATAAATTTAATTGAAAAAATGTTTGAAAATTATATAGATGAAAAAGAGGAAGATATGAGAAAAGAGGGGAGAACGGAGGAAGAATTTTGTTGGGGTTTTTATAACTCTAGCCTTCATTAATGGCTAGTTCAGCATTAAAATATATATATATATATATATTTAAGAAATGGATGCACAATTTAATTGGAGTAGCTCAAGTGTCCAAAATCTAGCAAAAAAGTAAGACAGTCGATTTCTTAAAAGCAGATTCCTCATTTAAGGATATCATATGCAAGTTGTTCGTAAATGCCACTATTTTGTGCATCTTGATGAACAAATTTTGACTCATTGACACAATCTAGTTTCATTAACCAAAAAAAAAAAAGAAGAAGAAAACTGATCTACCGTGTTGAATAAATGAATAAAAAAAGCTGTCTTGGGTGCTGTTTGGCTGAAATAGGATTAATAATGGGGGTAATAGACTGCCATCATAACCCAAGAAAGTTCTGCCATCACAACCCAAGAAAGTTCTTAAGGCGATGAACTCACAAATGACAGCAGAAGTTCTTAAATCCGTCTCACAATCCAATTTAATCAGGATTTTTATCCTAAACTAGACATAGCAGGATTCGATTTAACAGAAAGTTGGGTTTGATTTTTTTTTTTAATATATGATTGGATTTACATTAAATTTGTAACTAAATTCTATTTAAATTATGCTACCAGGTTCTTCCTCATTGAGCTTCTCTCCCAATCGCACAGCCTACCTCCAAAATTAGTATGAAATGCCAAAGGCAGCAACTTTTCTCAAACACATGCAAAATTAGACTGTAAACATCTATTAAGCAATCTAAGTAGAGCATCAGCCTTCCTCTTTGCCCTTGGAGAACCAGTAGCCACCAAACCCTGAAGTGAAGATACACTCCTTGGATTCATCAACAACCTCCTTCCCATCTCCTCCCCTCCATCTTTAAACAAACCCAACAACACAACAATTGAATTCTCCTTCCCCTTCTCCGATCCAAATCTCAACAATTCCACCAACACCCCCTCCACCACCATGTTCTCCCTTATCTCCCTTATCCCCTCCTCACACCCAATTAGCAGAGCCAGCACAGCCAGCACATCGTCGGTGACACCCGCCTCATCGTCCATTAGAAGATCCACCAACACCTTCACCACCCCTGCTTTCACCACCCTTACCTTATTCGGCCCGTAAACTGCCAAATTGAACAGCGCCATTGCCGCATCTCTCTTCCCCGTTGTCGTCCCCTCCCTCAGTAGCCCCACTAGCCCCGCCACCGCATCTTCCCGCCCACCTATCGCCAACTTGCATTCATCCAGTATTGACAGACTAAATAGTGTAGCAGCAGCATTCTCCCGCGCCTCCATCGCCTTCCCTCCAATTAGTACTCTGATAATGGCGTCAATCGCTCCCGATGACATAATCAGGATTTTGTTTTTATCAAAAATGGAGAGGTTGAGCAGCACGGTCACCGCGTTCTCCTGTGTCTGGGCATCCGTGGAGACAAGTAGAGTGATGAGGAAAGGGATGGCCCCAGCCTCCACGATGATGCGACAGTTGTCCATTCCAGTTTTTGCAAGGAGACGGAGCTCGTAGGCTGCTTGGCGTTGCGCGGCTGAGGAACCAGTGGCAATCTTTCCTACAAGGAACTCGGCAGTCATCCTGACGGCTTCCATTGCTGCTCTCAGCTCGGAGATGTGGTCCTTCGCGACGGTGGAGACGGAATCCGCAGCTTCAGAGGTGCTCCGCTGCAAGAGTGATGGGGTTAAAAAGTTATGCTCTTTGCACCACTGTTCGATTAGGCTTTTTAGCGCGTAATTGGGGATGAGAGCCATATGGATTAGCTTATTCCCACTCTTAGGGCAAGTGTGATGGCCGGAGTTGATCCACCTTGAAATAGCGATCCGATCATAGCTGTGCCCGGATGCCACGATTACAGGATCCCTCATTAAATCAAGCGTGATCGGGCATCGAAATTCGTCAGGGATGATGAAAGATGTCGAGCTTGAGAGTGTTGTCGACGATACAGGACAAGATACCGATCGACTAAGATCTCGCGATGGCAATGGCTGCAGGGGCGTCTGGTCGGATTTGCTAGATTGGAAAATGATAGGCTTTGAGCAAGAAATGAGGGAAATTAGGTTCGCAATGTGGGAAACAGCGACGAAACCACCGGTGCCGGCCTGCTTAATGATCTCAAATTCGAGCCGATCGATTTCTTCCTTGTAAGCAGTGGTGGATTTCAACCCAAGCACGCGCATGATGTGATCCAATTTCTTAAAATCAATGAATGCCCTTTCGTTGCGCTTCTGAGCCATGATGGCGACCAGATCATCGCGGAGGCGGAGTTCGCGGGGATCGATGAAGAGGGCAGCGCGCTTGGCTTGGCGATGGAGGAGGGCGACCTGCTCGTGAACATCAGGGGAGATGGAGAGGAGGGTGAGGGGGAGGATGTCGAGTGCAGAGGCTAGATCTCGAGCACAGGAGTGAAAGCGCTTTGCGGTGGACTGAAGTTGAAGAAGGGACCAGAGAGCGCTGGTGGCGGCGAGGTCGTTCAGGAGGGATTTTGTGCGGCATAGGATGGAATGGAGTTCGGTGAGACAGAGGATGGATGAAGGAGTGAGAGAAACGGAGGAGGAGGTGGAGTCGCTGAGGTCTTCAAAGAGGGAGGATAGGAGGCGGGAGCGGTGGATGGCGGCGGCAGTGTTGCGGGTGTGGAGGGAGTGGACGGGAGAGGGGGAAGAAAGGGAAGAGAGGTCGGAGCAGGTGAGGAAGAGGGAGTCGATGAGGGAGGCGGGGGGGAGGAGACCGGAAAGAGTAACGGCGCCGGTGGACGAGCGCGACGGCGGCGGCGGCTGCGGCGGTGTGGGACTCTTCGGGGGAGGGGTGGGTTGGTCCATGGTTGTTGTGAGAGTGTTCGTGGTACTGTGAAGGAATTAAGAAAATGCCTGTTTTTGACCGTTGTGTTTGGGGAGGAAGAGGGAGGGCGCCATTTGGCGGTTGAGTTGTTAAGTTTCCGAGTTTGGATATTCGGGTTTTATTTTATTTTTATCAAATCAATAATTATTTTATTCTCTGATATTAGTTTTTATTAAGGGAAGGTTTAAGTTTTATTTGAGAACACAGTCAGATTCCGTTGTATAAACGGCAATGCATAAATTTAAATTTCATTTGATATGGTAGTTTTATCACGAATCTCAATGCAATCAGACGGCCAAAAGAAAAAAATATTGCTGGTGAAATGTGAGCGGCCGATGGAGAGAACAACCGATTGACAGAAGTTCATAAAAAAAGGTTGAAAATCATACCACAATTGGAGGATTCAAGCGACCGTCTATCAAATCCTGGTCCACTGATCGACCGCCAAAGATCGGATGTTCGTTTACAGCATCCCCCAAAAAATTTGGGTGTCTCAGCATATGACGATCGACCGAATCAGATGAACAGTAGTCCTGATCAAATACCAACGAGGGATTTTGGGACAAACAATTGATAGACATCTCATCAGGAGACAACTAGTCTTGTTACATTCAATCTCCTGCAATTTAATGAAAGAACCACTCAAAAGTTAATGATGAAGTGGTAGACCTGTAATTTCATCAGACTATGGCCCTGTATCTATAAATAGGGAATTCTTATAATAAACAGATGACACACATTTCCTGTTCTCTATTGTTCTCTTCTTCCTCTGGTGTTATGTTCCTTTCATTGGTTGTCTCTTTGACACTTTTGGATTCAACATCTTTAAAATACAATAAGCGTGGAGCTTTGTCGACAACAAGAAGAGCACAACAACAACAACAAGGAGAAACATTCAAAGGAACATAACGGAAGCAGATTGTACTAGATAGTTTGTGGAGGAATTAGTTCAACAAGGTCTACAAGACCTGAGAACTCAGATCACCAATCAGATATCAGGACAGTTCGCGGAAGTTCTCAGGGCAGTTGCAGCGTTGGGAGTAGCCACAGTCTTGGGAGGAGTGCGGGCTTAATATGAGGCACACAACCCACCTCAAAGGGATCTGCCAGCGAATAATGAAAGAGGGACAAATCATCTATAGGAGAGGGTTGGAGATACACCGTATCAGACACACAACCCACCTCATATAGGAAAAGCATCGACTTGGGAGAACCAAAGTATTGTGATGACCGAAGAACGCTTTCTCCCTGTAAGTCTCGTGAGTTGAACCATAGGAGAAATTTAAACTGCCTGCTTTGGAGTTGTACAAGGGATGATCAGACCCCAACTACCACCTCACATCTTTTGAATCTTATATGTTTCTGCTGAAGATCTCAGAAGCCTTTAAGTGCAAATTATTTTTTATGACGTTGAGATCGTCTGATCTTAAATGGTTCGACGGATTGTCGTTGAGGGTAATTATCTGCTTCGCAGAGTTCAAGAGGCATTTTCTGTACAGTTTGCCACTGCCATAAGGTCCAAGAAGAGTGTCTGATTTTTATGGCAACTAAAACAAAGAACCAATGAAAGCCCATGCTCTTTTATTGCACGTTTCTAGAGAGAAACATTGGATGTGAAGGTCCTGAACCCTAAGATGGCTTAGGCCACACTAAGATAGGGGGTAAGATCAAAAAGGTTTCGCTTTGACACTGACCTTGCAGAACCCTAGAGTTTCGCCGAACCACTGAAAATGGCCAATACATATATCAATGCTTACAAAAATGCTCCTGAGCCCTTTGAACAAAGACAACAGAAAAGGATATCACAGATATGTGGGTCGAAACATAGGCAAAACACACGACCGCCCATCTGCCCGCACTATGAAAGCCATCCCCGCAATAAACAAATCCATCATCAAGACGATCAAAGAATGAGGAAGGACCAAAATAAGCAGTTGATTCAATACCATGAGCAGCCCCGGATCATGAAGTCCATCGTAACACCCCATAAGGGAGTCTATGGCGGAGATAGCAGATGCCATCCAAGACAAAGAGTTCTTCAGGAAGGCACCACTGATGAGAACCGAGGCTTTTCTTTGCGATAACATGAAGTCCTAGAAGTGCCACAGGGATTACGACCATGACACGAAGGAATGCAGACACCTTCAGAACATGAACGAAGAGCTGGAAAAAGACGAAAATCTAAAGGGTTTGTCGCCTCTAGAGCTCCGACCTAGAGACAAGGCAAAACCTCAATGGAGGGAACCTCTAATGGAATTCATACCAACGCCATCCACTTTGCCGGATTTGTGCCCGCCATATTGGGAGGAGCTGAACCACCTAGATGAGCAAACCGGAAGAGGCACCAAATTGGGGAACTCTGCACCACAACTTTCACTCCAAAACCTAAAGGTCATCTACTTATCTACTTAACAAACAAAGACCCGACACCGAAGAGAAACCCCCCACAATGACACTTGTAATAACGGTTGAGTGAGTAGCATTTTCATTGATACAAGAAGTTTTGTAAATGTATTATTAAAACATGTTTTTGATAAATTGAGCCTTAATGCCCGACCAAATGATTGCACCTGCTGGACTACTGTATAGTTACTCTAGCGAGAGGAAAGAAGTGCTTGGAGTGATCAGGCTCCGGGTAAGCTGGGGGGAAAATGAGAAACAATTTACGTTGATAGAGAACTTCCTCGTAGTGGATTCTCACTTGATGTATGATGTCATAGTCAGTCGACCACTCCTAAATGACTTTAAGGCGGTGGTCTCTACTTATCATGTCATAAGTTAAGTTTCCTGGGGATGGAGAAGTCATCACAGTCAGAGGAAATCTGGAACAACCCCAAGTTTGTTACTTTTAAGCAATAAATAATGTGGAGCACGACCCCCATAAACATCCAAAACTCAAGGAGAGGTGGCCTCGAGACCAATGAGGCCACCCTCGAAGTCCTAGTTGTCAAAGGGGAGCTAGGTAAATGTTTTATGATCAGTGAGGCTTTCGATGCAAGATACAGAGGACTGTTGATCCAGACTATCCAGAAAAATCGAGATGTCTTCGCATAAATGACTGATGAAATGTCTAGTGTGCCAATCGATGCAGCTTGCCACCGATTGAACGTGGTTCCGTCAGTCGGACCAGTAAAGCAAAAAATCAGGAGCTCAGCCACAAAACTAGCTGAACCTATCCGGGAGGAAGTGCAGAAATTGAAAGACGTTGGGTACATTCAAGAGGTGCAATACCCTACGTGGATCTCCAACACCGTGATGGTACAAAAGGCTAATGAAAAATGGAGGTTGTGTGCGAAGTTCGCCAACCTAAATTCAGTCTGCCCGAAGGACGCATACCCGCTACAGATGATCAAAGCTTTGGTGGGTTCGACTGTCGGTGATTTTGTAATGAGTTTTATCGATGCGTTCTCCGGATATCATATAAAGATGCACCATGCATATGCAGAAAAAACTTCTTTTTAATACTAGTGAGGGATTATATTACCATAATATAATGCCCTTTGGGCTTAAGAATGTTGGGACAACTTACCAATGTCTCATAGAGATAATTTTTGTTAATCAAAAGAGAAGAGACATTGAGGTGTACATTGCTTATGTGTTAATTAAGAGTCGATGGTTGCCCAACATAAAGAAGACTTGAAAGAAACTTTTCAAACACTCAAAAAATTTAACATGAGGATGAATCCACTAAAATGTATCTTTGGAGCCTCAACGAGCAAATTCCTAGGGTATGTACTAACCCTGAAGGCATAAAAGCAAACCCAAAAAAAATGCAAGCACTCATCAGCATGCCACCACCCAGAAACACCAAGGAGATATATAAGGTGACAGACCAAATAGCAGGGTTAAGCAGATTCATCTCCAAATCTTAAGACAAGTGCGCCCCTTTTTTCAAGTAACATAGGAAGGCTAAGAATTTTGAGTGGACGTCCAAATGTGAGGAAGCTTTTGCAAAACTCAAGCAGTCTCATCTCTCCCCCACTCCTCTAGAGCCCAAAACCGAAAGAAAGACTTCCTTAACTTAAAGGTTGGCATGGAGGCCATTAGTTCAATTTTTGTTAGAGAAGAAATAAAAAAATAATACCAAGTATACTACATCAACCGAGTCCTCAAAGATGTCGATCTCAGGTACCTGATAATGGAGAAATTAACCTTTGATTTGATAATTTTAGTACGGAGGTTCTGAACATACTTCAATAAAATTTATCACCGACCATCCACTGAAATTTTTGCTCACACGTCCTGAACATTCCAGCTGACTACTCAAATGGGCCATCGAACTCAGCCAGTTTGATCTCTTATGTCCCTCGGAAAACAGTAAAAGAACAGACGGTTGCTGATTTCTTGGTGGACTGCTCCAAACCACATGGAGCTGAGGAAAAACTAGCAATCAACGTATCAATCTAGACTTTATTCACAGACGGAGCTTCTAGCCGATTGGGAGCCAGACTCGGGGTTTTCTTATGCAATCCAATGGGGGAAAACAACTACCTTTCGATCGAGATAAACTTTCAAGTAACTAATAATCAAGCAAAATACGAAATTTTGATTGCAGAACTTCACTTAGCCTCGGGGATTGGAGCCTTTCACGTACTAGTAAAACCCAAATCCCAGCTAGTCGTCAACCAAACTAATGGAGATATCAAAGCAAGGGATGAAACAATAGTGAGGTACCTCAGGACGGTGAAGGCAAAGATCAGTCGGTTCACCAATTTTAAAATTGAACATGTCAGGAGAGAAGAAAATCTGATTTTTTACCTCCTTTCAAGGAGTTGAGGGAGGGACAACCCCAATGGCTCGATCAAAATACAATCGAAAAACCTCTGGCAATGAAGATTCACGTCAGAAGGAAGAAAGGCTTGATGGACCCATACACCCACCACCTAGAAACCAGAAAAATTGATAAGGAGATTACCAACCAAAGGAGGTTCACGCTTAAAGCTACCCAGTATTTGATGGTCGAAGGAAAACTTTTCAAAAAAAAATCAGCCATGTCTCTTTACTTGAAGTGCGTAGTGAGGACGAAATTTGAGATATCCCCTAAGAAGTTCATGTCAGGAAGTGTGCGTCATTTTGGAGAAAAGACACTAGCCCACCGAATCCAGCAGCATGGATATTTTTGGCCAAGCCTGCTCAAAGATGTAGAAGGGTGCTCCCAAAAGTGTGAGCAAAGTCAGAAATATAACCCTTTATGACACCAACCAACCCAAAAACTTCGCTCGATCATCAACCCCTGGCCTTGGGCTATATGGGGCCTCGACATCCTCGAACATTTTCCCTTCGTCTTTGTTCCCTTTATATAAATTTATTTTCCTTTATTTTATTTTATTTATTTATTTATTTATTTTTGCTTAACATTATGAATAAGATTTATTTTGACTGAAATGACAAATGGGGTCGATTTGTCATTTTTTCAAAGTTAGTTCCCATAGTGTGAAAAGATTAAAGTTTTTTTTATTTTTTTTTGCTTAACATTATGAATAAGATTTATTTTGACTGAAATATATTATTTTATGGAAACTAACATTTTAATATTAAGCATTTCCGTAGGGATCATTGTATTTAACTACTTAAATTCAGGCCCAAAACATAGCATTTCCGTAGGGATCATTGTATATCTTAGGAGGAGAGATAAGTTGAGTCAAGCAGATGGACTATTAATAGCAGTAAATTTGCATGAAGTAATGTGCCTACAAAATTTCTCGGACTGAAGGGCCCATTAGAATTCATTAGAATGCCTACATTTGTATAAACCTCTTCGAGGGATGTTAAGACGACTAATTCAAAACCAAGCAATAGCAGCTAGAGGGATTTCATATTGAATTATTAACTCATCAAATTGAGTCATAATCAATGACTATAACAAAGGGAAGTCAAAGCAAAGTTAGCTCATCTAGAAGCTATTTGTGCAATGTTAGTGAAAGATTCTTTTGCATTTAAAAGCTATTGTTCCAAGTTTACTCAATAGGCATAGGCATAATTGACAAATTTAAAAAAAGAAGACCTGATTTGATAGTTCTCAAAAACACGAGTCAATAAAAAAAATACATCATGAAAAGACAACCATCGAACGTAAAAAGATTGACCTAACTACTTTTGGTGTTGTGACCATTCAATTCATGTTCAATGAACTTGGACTTTAATACAAAACATGTCGAACTGTTAACTTCATGAAGATGTTGAAATTAATCTCTCCCTCTTAGGGTATTCATAGAAGGCATGAGCAAGAGAACTTCAAGTAAAATCAAATTTGCTTGGTATTTATAAAAGTTGAACAATAATATGCCACAACATGCTATATGGAAAAAGAAACAAAACTTTCTAAGGAAATGATTCCTCTAATAAAAATATGATCCATGTCAGTTTTTTTTAAAGCAAAATAAATAAACCATATAATGATACGAATAAGATAAATTATAAAAAAATAGTCAAGTAAAACAGAAAAATATAACAAAGAGATATAACAAGAAAACCAAGAATGCGACATCCTATGAATCATGAAAATCACAGAATAATACATTTAAATTGTCTAGCTTAAAGCCTAGTGAATAAAATAAGTACTAATAAATTTTCTTTTGATTCATGCTCCTTATGGAAGACAACATATGATATTTTATACATCACATAATCAAAACTTTGATAGCTCTACTAAGTCAGATAGTTGTCAATATAATTATCTTTCTGTTAACAAATAAGACGGAGCTAAAGTGTTTCAAGAATTTGTTCATTATCTTTAAAGATAATATAACCAGATGATGAAATGACAAACACCAAAAGGCTAGTAGGGCAAACAGATCAACTATTGTCTCCAAAAGAGTATAAAACTGGCTTCAAGTTTTAAGAACAGACCTGAACAAATTAGAATCTTCCACAAATTGAATAAGAGATTGAATACGAGTTTCCGATGGACCATCATGAGCCTAATTTTTAGAGTTCATTAGTTTTACAACAATCCTTGAAATAGTCTTAAAATGGACGCCCAAATATATGATATGAGTAGAATGATGGAATATTTTCAAACTTGACGTTCTGCTAATACTTAAATGAAAGGGACTCAATTCACACCTACTTGTCAAAATGAGATATATTGTCTACTTCTATCAAAACTTAGGCCACAAAAAGCCTAAAAAGACAAGTAGCCATAATATCCACCAGTAAAAGTTTTTCTAATTTTAAAGCAAAGGAGAATAGGATAAACTTGTTGAAGTGATGCAAATGAAGTCATTCCAATGGGAACCAAAGAGGTATGGAACAATTAAAATGATCTGTTCTAGCAAGTGCATCGAAAAGCCACTAAATCAAAAGCGGCTTCGCACGTTACTTTCATATTGGGATGATCCATACAAAAATTAAAATAATTAAGTGGCCTAACAAGATCATATATCTTTTCGTCAGTGGAGAGGAGAGCAGGCTTGCTTTGATGATATTAAGAGAGCTACTTTTGTTGTAATGTCAATGAATCATAGAGAAAAAATAAAGTGAAATTATTGAATGGAGCTAGGTAAAAGACAACAACATTCAAACCACAAACATCAAGAGCATGTATGCTGTGAAAGGATGCAACAGAAATAGCCGCAAAAATTAAGGGGCACTAAGGAAGAAGGTAGTGACTGGGGGGTTCAATCAAAAGCCACCTAGAAGCAATCATTGCAGGAGAAAGTAGGAGCTTATGAAATTCAGATAAAAATAAAGAAGCTAAATTGCAGAAGATCCCCCATCTATAACCAATAAAATAGAACAAGCACGAAAACAAATGCAAGAGCAAAATTCTATACCAGACGAGAAAACTAAAGAAGATAACAAGATGTAGGCTGTGTTAGTATAAAAAAACTCAAAATGAGTCACTTGCACCAAAATAAGCCAAAAGAGAAGGGAAAGAAAGCCCTATCTAGTAATGATGAAAATTGATGACAGACTATGGTTTCACTGTGATTATAGATAAAGAGAGAGATATTCAATTCAAACTTTAATAAATGGGGAATAGTAAACCTAAAACTAATTCGTAGAAGGTTGAAAGAAATACAGCAGAAGGCACGGAGTTTAGTTAGATAGATCATAATGGAAAATAAAGTGATCTACGATTAGAGATGTTGATGTCATATCATTTTGACACAAATTTACGCTCACCACGGAAGAAACAATATAATAAAATTCTAGAAGAAAGCCCTAAGGAATAAGACTATGTAGATCAAATTGAAAGAATCGAAAGATTTTTGCTATATTCAATCACTTGTTTTGTTAGTAACCTTCTAATCTTTGAAAGTCCTTCAGTAAAAATAAGCATCAGCTTCGCTGAAGTTTTTCAATTAAACTAAAAAAATTACACGAACACAGTAATAAATTGAGAAATACAAATTTTCACTCCATTAATTTATTTAATGTTTAAAAAGATACTAGACGGAAACACAAACACTTACATAGCCAAATAACACACCAACTCATCACCGTCATTGATAGCTAAGGAGATAAATTCAAAGATAACATGATAGAGCTGTAAGAAAATAATGAAGAAATAAAATAATAATAATAATAATAATAATAATAATAATAATAAAATAAACGCTGTTTCTATTCTCATTTGAAGTTGAATCTACACCACACTGGTGTTACTTTTATCATAAAATTAAGAAACAATAGAGACACTAGTAGGAATTCCTATGACATATTTCTCAAATAAATAAATAAACTCTATATTTAATTAATTTATCTGATTTTTAAAGAAAGCACTTCCAAACAAGGTTAAAAAAAGGAGCCATGCTTTGCTTATTTAGTATCTTCTCCAATGTCATGAGAAACATTCAAATTATTTATAATGCACGAGTGAATTTTTTTTCACTTCGCAACATTTTTGACACCTTCGAAACTACTAATTTACAAACTCAACAACTAAACCCAATTATATTTATATCACAAATTTTAAACTAATGGCGGCCCCACAACTAAATGGTATGCGTGCTCTATAAATTCAAATTGCAACAGCACAACAAGAAGTTGAACTGTTTGCCAATCAAGAACGGAATTAGCAGAAGTGAGCAAATTACTTGGTAGCAATCCGCAAGCCACAACTGAAGGAAAATGGCAGAAGTGATCTTCAGAGTGCCAGAAGCTCAACCTTTTGTAGTTGAATGTGGGAGCCGTTTATCTTGTATTCCCAAAACCAGCTTCCAGTGTCCATCATTTCATCTTTTATAAGTTCCAATTTAACTTCAAAACCTGCAACAAGTAAGAATGACTAAATGAATATGATTATAAAAAACTAATCATAAGAAAAGAAAAGCACTTCAATCTTAATTTTCAGCACTTGACAAAATATTAGGTGCTTGCAAATGCATACTACACATATGGAAAACTAGCGTATAACTGAATGTTATTTCAAGAATGTAGGGAGGTAAAAGTGACTAAGATAGGACAAACAACAAGAAGCTGACAAATAAAATACGTGTGTCCCCCATCTATGCAATGATCAATACTCAGTCGAAAACTGTTTGAATTTATTGAGAAATCTTTAATCTAAAATCGTACCATAATGCAAAGCAAATCAGATCGCATGTATATCTAAGTAGTTCCTGCATACAGATCTTATGCATTGGAAAATCGAATTTGTCTTATGTTAGGGAGAAAAACTACAATCTACAAAGACGACTTTTGGAAGAAATTTGGGAAGAATTTTATTTCTTGCTCTTACTTAATGCATTACACCTTACTATATATATATAATAGCATAGATAGCATATTGGTCCACGGAAATAGAAAACTAAAATCCTTTTAATTTAGAAATTCCAGCAATTAGAAAAAGCAGAAAAATAAGACATCTAATAAATGAAACATATTATGAGAGAAGGAAATAAATTTCTTCCTAATCAAACATGTGGATTTGCACTTCCCTACAAGCTGAGTTGTATATATTGCACAACACAAACTTGGCTTCAATTCATCATGACTAACACTTAGTCATGTTTTGGTGAGAATATCAGTAATCTAAAGTTGTGTTAAATTTTCTGAGATTAAGTGTCGGTCAATCTCGATGCATTTTGTTTTGTCATGATACACATAATTTTTTGCTATACTAATAATTGCTTGGCTATCACCAAACATCTTAATTATGTCTTTTATCTATCTTATCCTCAAATTCCCTTCATAGCATTTGAATCCACATTCCCTCACATATCCCTAATAAGAAGCACGATATTCAATTTTGCATTGCTCCGAGAGACAACAACTTGCTTTTTGCTTCTCCAAAAGAAGAGATTATCCCCAACATATGAATAGTATCCAGTGATTAATTTTCAGTCATTTACCTCTTCTGCCCATCTAGGATTTGTGTACACCACAATCTCATAGTTTGCAGATCTTTTAAAGAGCAAACTATATCCAGGGTTCATCTTCAAATATCTTAGAATTTTGTAAACTTGATTCAAATAATTCTCACTTTGATTATTCATGGGTTGGCTTAATACACCAACAAAATATGCAATATCAGGTCTGATGTGTGATAGATAGAGTAACTTGCTCATAAGTATTTGATATCTTCCTTTGTCAACTAGACTGTTTTCTTCACTTTTGTTTAGTTTTCAATTGAAATCCATAAGTGTGTCGGCATGTTTACACCCAAGCATGTCAGTTTCACTCAAAGAGTTTAAGATGTAACTCCATTGGGATATGAAAATTTACACCCTAAACTAAGACACCGCCATTCTCGGATATATATAAGAGTCTAGGTCCTTGATTTCAAATTTTGTAGCAAGCATCTTTTTTTAGTATGATGATCTCCTCTGAATCATCAACATTCAAGACAATATCATCTATCTATAATATGAGAATAACAATTTTGTCTCTATGATTAAATTTAACAAATAGTGCATGATGTTCGTTTGCAATCACTATTTTAGCAAACCCGTCAAATCAAATATAAAAATTTCTTCATGTAAAATAAGTAATTCAACTTGCAAACCAACCTAGTGTCCGACCTATATTCTAAGCCTGAACGTATAGTAATGTAGACTTTTACATCAAGGTCCCCATCCGTAAAGTTTTTGACATAAAATTAGTATAAAAGCGAGTCATGTTTTACTGATACAGAGAGAAAAAACCAAATTGTATTAAATTTGGCAACATGTGCAAAAGTTTCCTGACAGTCAATCTCAGATGATTGTGTAAAGCTTTTAACAAACAATCTGTATTTGAATCTCTCTACGCTTCAATCAATTTTATATTTAACTGTGAATATCCATAAGCAAACAATAAAATTTTTCTATGAGATAACTCTGAACGTGTCAATATGTTATTCTTTTCTAGAGCCCAAATTTCTTCCTCAACTGCTTGTTTCCATATTGGAACATTTTGAACCTCTTGGAAAGATTTGGAGAGCTATACATTATCAAGGTTTGTCACAAAAAGCCATGTAAGATGGTAGTAACTTCTCATAAGCTGCATATCTTTCAATTAAATAATCAAAGCACCCTCAGATACCTTTCCTGTGTGCAATTGGTTGATCAAAATCAGCAACCAACAAAATGAGATCAGAAACCCATACAATTATGATTATTAAATGTAGGAGAACTTGGTTCTAGCACTTAACAATCCTAGGTCAACATGGTTATTCTATTTTTGGTGTAGAGACAAAGTTCATGATCATTGGTCAACATGACTATTGAGGTGGAGTAGAGACAGGTGGGATTGTTTAAATGGCAGAGTTTAGTTCCTCAAGTGAAGCTGGTTGAGTAATCTGAGTGTCTTGGAAAAAATCCTAAATCTGACATTCCATCGAATTCGCCCCTTGAGTTGCAAATTTAGGAAAATAAGATTGATTGTTAAATAAGGTGACATCCATAGAGTCATATATTTTTCTAGTAGTTGGAGAGTAGAATTTGTACCCCTTTTTATTAGAGTAACCGAGGAAGATGGATCTAAGAAACTTGGGATCAAATTTGGTTTAGTATTGTTGAAGAATATGAATAAAAAATGAACAGCTAAAAAACTTTCTTAGTAAGTTGGAAGAAAGACCGTGGATATGTAGATGGAATTTCATGATAATGTTACTAGGAATTTGAATTTTAAGAATCGACTAGGCATCTTATTGATGAGATATGTGACTAAGAAAATAATTTCCCCCAAAAAAATAATTAGGCACATGATTATATAATATAATAGCACGGGTCATCTCGAGTAAGCATCTATTTCTTTCAGCAACCTCATTTTGTTGAGGAGTATACACACCAGAGCTTATATGAATAATATCATGCTTGGAAAGATAAGGACAAGGATGAAATTAAAATATTCCTTAGCATTCTATGTTCTAAGAACTTGAATTTTGCTATGGACTTGAGGATTATTGTATGAAATGATTGAAATATAAAGTTATTCCAGATTTTTCTTTCAATAGGAATGTCCATATTATTCTTGTGTAATCACCTGTGAATAATAAAAATCATCATGTCACATTTATAATGTTTACTTGTGGGGTCCCAAGATATCACTATGAATTATAGAAAAAAACTTGAAAGCTTAAATTGTAGTTTAAACTATACATAACTGATAAGTTTTGTAAGTTGACATATTTCACATTGATAAGGATTAGACTTTTTAGTGATAAATAAATGTGAAAACAACTTTTCAATGCATGCAAAATTTGGATGACCAAGACAACAATAAATCATCATAACTTGATTTTCAACTGAAACTAAATTGATAGAATTTGAAATAGATACAGAAATACAACTTCATGGATGACCATGTCCACCGAGGAAGTTGTTTTCTTTGAGCAAGTATAAATCATGCATCAAAGCATTGTGAATCACCTTTCTCGAATCCACTGTAAGAACCGAAATTTATTCTTTTCTCATGCAATTACACAATTTTTTTTCCTTTTCCTTCTTTGATCGCTGTGCTACCGACTTCTTGATTTAGACTCACATGATTCTTACCTACTCTTCTTCAACTCTTCATCACCTCTTTTTATGCTTACATCCTCTTTAGGCTATTTAGGGAGGTCGACAACTTGGCTAAGGGCATCGCCGCCTCTTGCAGCCCTTTGCCAAAACCTCCTCCCTCCTGCAGCCCTTTGTCGAAACCTCCTCCCTCACTCCTGATCGACCTCGTGACCGAACCTTACTTCACAATATTGTGATTGGAGCTAACAGTGAAGGCAACAATAGCGTTGCAGGATTATAGAGAACACCAAAACTTTTGCTTCACTCCTGCCAAAAACTTCGAGGAAGGTAGCCCTCGCCTTCCTCCCTCTCGCGCACGACGACTCTCCTGAATCCCATAAATCCATCTCCCAATGGGATTTAATAAACCGAGATTTAAGGCAAACCGAAGAGAAATGAGATTTATGAAATTTTATGATTTAAAAAATATTTTTTTGTTGTTTGTTAGGGTTAGCTCTACATGAAAATCCCAAAAGTTTTATTTAGAAATCCACGTTTAGTCCTTATCAAAATTTAAAAAAGAACAAGATATTATTTTAATTATTTGTTAAGCCAAGTTTAATTAGGTTCATAAATTCTTACTTTTAAAAATAATAATAATAATAATAATAAAAGGTCGATTTAGCTATATCTAAGGGTGTTAGTCAAGTCAACTCGTGAGCTAGCTCAAGCTCAGCTTGATAAGTGGCTTGTGAATAGCTCAATGAGCTAACATGCCAAGCTCAAGCTCACCCCGACTCGACTAGTTAGCTTGTGAACTGACTCATTTAAAAAAATACTAATATAAACTATACTCAAAATATATTAACTTTGAATACCTTATTTTAAGTATTAAAAATATTTAAAAAATAATATTTTATATTTTATATTAAGTGATTTGATATTATTTCTCTTCTAAATGCCCTTTATATTTGTCATTTTGTTATGAAACTACCTTAAATTAATATTATTTTCTCACTTTTATAATCACAAGTCGGATTGTGAACCGGCTCAAACTCGTAGACTTAAGCTTGAGCTCGAGCTTGAACTTGATAAAATTAATCAAGCTCAAGCTCAAACCAAAAGCGGCTCGAGGTTGACTCGACTTGTTTATACCCCTACTTGCATCTAATTTCATAAATAAATAAATAAGTTTAATTTCATTAATATTTTAACTTAATTTCTAATCCGTGTAGAATCGATGGTCAAATCGTCGAATTAGTAGAGGTACCTTGTTTTCCATCTCGAGATAAGTAACTACACTTTATTATAGAATAAACGTACCCTTTCTAGTTAGGTGCACTA